CATGACTGAGTGTTTCCACCTTGGACTGCAGTGAACCAATGACAGTCTCATAAACACAGATTCAGGGTTTCATACGTCACAAACCTAAGGAACCAATCCTGTCAGCTGGTGGGGGCGGGGGGCGGGGCTAAATACACCTGAAACTTTGTCAGCACAGAGAGAGAGTGTTAGCATTAGCACAACCTCTAACACTATGTCAGCCACCGCCAGTTACAAGCTAACAAACAACATAAACAAATAAAAGATACCATCTACGCTAACAGTTCTGATACGTCTGCTAGTCTCTGGTTCTGGTCTCAACAGACTCCTCCTCTGAGTCTGGGTCTGACTGAGGCATAAACATGTGGCTGAGTATCTCAGATGTTTCCTCCTCTAACCATCTTTATACTCTCTGCTCTTTCACCTGTCCACCTGGAGCCAGCAGGTGGTGGGCGGGGCTCAAGACCTGATTCAGGTTTCTCAATGAGGAAGTAAGAGTAAACCCAATTTTTGTTTTGTTTTTTCACTTTTTATGTGTGAAAACCAAAATATGAATCCAAGCAGATGATTTTTACAGAGTTTAAAACATGTCTGGAGAAACTTTTATGGCTTTATGAGCCCCTAACTTTTCATCTAGCGCCCCCTGCAGGTCAAAATCTTAAAGAAACTGTGTGATCCTAATATGCTGTACAACAAGAAACGGTATATCTTTAAAACAGAGTTAGATATGTTGTATTAAATGAATCCACCAACAGCACTTTCAGGTGCATAACATGTGACCACCACGTCCTGAGTTGGAATCCGACTGTCAACAACTGTCAAATCTCATGTCCCTTCAATTATTTCCCATCGTTCTCTGTCAACTAACCAATAAATGCACATGACAACGCTGATAGGATGTGATCGATGCAGCAAGTGGCGCTTGCCAACTTGAATTCACTGACATTTGAGCTCCAGCTCCCACAGACAAGAGTGAGGGTTAAGGATGAAGTGTTTATCTGTCTTTATTTTCCCCTGTGGGGGGGAATCCACTGAACATATTCTCCATGCAAAATGTTGCATAAAACTACTTTCCATGTGGTGGCAAAGCATGAAGTCTCCTCTCTGACCCTGTTTTCATTCCATCAGCTTTTTGCTCCATGTTGTGATGCGGCAAGCAATCCTCAGTGGAGGGTAAAGACAAAGACCACGTTTCACACACAGCGGAGAGGATGCTGACCCAACCTGGTTATTCCTGGGGACGGAGCACAATTGCTGGCATTGGAACAGGAAACAAGCTCCATTGTGTAAATGGCAGGACCGAGGTTTGTTTGCTCTCGTCAGGAAAGTTGGTACAGTATGTGCACAGAGTACACAGTGTTAAAGATGCACTCAGACGCAACTGAAGGTTTAAGGCGTCGGAGACACAAGACGACAGATATTATTATGCTACAGCCTGTCAGTCTATATCCGCTTCTTTCCACAAATGTTGTAATATGATTTAAAGTTTCTCAAACCATCAAATCAAAAGGCAGAGCCTCACAAAAAAGTGCTCCTTCTCCTCTCAAGCTATATGAAGCCGCCTCAGACAAACTGTGGGGCTTTTAAGATCATGTTAATACCAGATTACCGGTAGATTACTCTGTGAAGGAACTGTTACCACTTTGTACCAGAGTTTTAAAACCCTGTCTCTGAGCTTTTTAAGCGACCGTGCAGTGTTTGGATCTCTGCAGTACCTGAAACAACGGGTGGGTAATAATACATAATATGAGCCTGAGGGTAGGCAGCAAAGAAGGGAGAGGGGGTGCAGGGGCATGGATGCAAATGCAAAGCCAAAGTTTTGAAGGACCCTGAATAATAACCTTCACTCTGAAGTTATTGTGGTTTAGTTTCTAGTGTCTGTCTCTATCTGTGAACCTAAATGAAATGAAACTGTGCTTGGTGCACGGCGGGTGACACAAGAGTCAGTCAGGGAATACTGCAGGGAATGAAGACGGAAAGCCGAGTTCACTGGGGCTCAGATAAGGCCTGCACTCAGGTTATGTTAGCAGCTAGTTCAGCCAAAAGGCTCTTTGGTAATTAAATCCCTTAAAAACACCTAAAAACAAATCATTCTACCAGTAAGACCAGTGATATGAAAGCCTGAACACAGAAATCAAAGCAGGAATTCTCAGGGGCTATACGGCCACATCGTGAACAAAAAGCCATATGTTGGACACCACAGTGAGAATGCCATTCACCACCCCACACAGTGCACCATCACCTATAACTGGTCAAAGTCATGTGGTTACTTGTGTGTTTTATGTGTTAGTTTGCTGCTGTGATGTCACTGTGATGTGACAGGTATGAGCGGGTTTTTTAAACATGGATAAACCCGCTGATAAAAGCCGATTGGCCCCTTTTCCACTGCCAGTCGAGTTTGTCTTTCTGGAGCAATGTCAACACAAATACTTATCACAGAGCACACATACAGACACAGTGGAGAAAGAAGGAGCTGTTAGAAAACTGGTAAAACAGATCTGTCCCTAAGTATCAGCGCCTCCATGTGAGACGTCATCTGTGATTGTGTTTTTTTTTTAAACTTATTTCGGGGTTGCTGCTTCACTCTTTCATCTCCAAGCGCTGTGTAGCCATGGTGTTTCTGGTTTAACAGCACCGTGCTGGACAGGTGACAGGTGTGTTTCCAGAGTTTGTGCAGTCATTTGACCCGGTTGTGAATGCCGATTGTTCCCTTTTCCATTGCCGACAAAAGGCAGATGTTAGCGGGTCGTAGTGGGTTTTTTGACCAGTGGTGAAGGAGCTTAAATTACATTTTGTTTAGTTGTGATAGAGAGTCGTGATATAAATAAATGAAACCTACAGAAACAACATGTCCGATTTCAATAGATCGCCGCCTCTACAGAGAATAATTTGAATCCCCAAACATGAGGAATCACTGAAAAGTGTTTCAGAAACCAAGTGGCTACAGGATGCGCAGTTTATCACTTATCTACTTATGTTCACGATGAGCTGCACGGACCACACATGCTGATGAAACATGTGTGAGCCCATCCGTGTGCGCAGACACCCAGTGCAGTACAAACAGAACAGCATGTGTGTTTCTATCTGCGCCTTGAGCCAGCAGCTTGTTTCAGGTCTGTGAGGAAGCACACTCCATCGTAATGATGATGGGGTGTGATGCCTGCCGTCGCTTTAATATGGTAGGCATTTGTGAAATACAGCAATTTATAGTTTAAATTTACTCACTTTTATTCAATTCAACTTTTGACCTTAACTTCATTTGCAACACATCAAGAAATAATGAAAATATAATTCTTATCTGGAGCCACAGTATTTTCAAAAACAAAGTCGGGGGAAACTGAATAATGTGGAATTTGTAATGAATAAAGAATAAAAAAATAAAAAAATGTCAGCCTCCGGGGCGTGTTTTCTCATTATAATTCCTTCACACAATCAGACGTGAATGACCACTATGAGGAAATGTACTTATTTCACTGTAGCACAAAACAGTTTTTAGATACTTGTTTCACTGCAGAAAAATTCACACTCAGAGTGTTTCACATCAAGCAGCAGATACAGGGACTGTGTGTCCCTGTCACAGTGGATGAGAATAAAAAGTGATGTGATGAAATGAAAAGAGGCTTCTGACCATAAAAGAGCAGCAGCAGCAGAGAGAGAGAGAGTGGCAGCAGTACGGCCCATCAAACAGAAAAGCAAGATTCCGCTAAACAACAGGCATGTAGTTAATAATTCAGCGCGCATAAGAGTCCGTTTGAGAGAAGGTTTTCTAATATTCATGTGACATGATAGCCAAGACAGGAACTCTTGCTCTCACTGGGCACAGTGTTATTCATACTGTGAGGCACTAAAGTATTTTGTAATTCATAGTCTTGGTTTTAGGCCAAGTGAGGACATATCTAGACCAACCCAGACCTTCAGTAGCAAACTCAATAATTCAAGAAGATTTGTTCTAAAAGTCTAAACTGATGTTGGTCTAATACTCAGAGATAATCCAGTCGATGGTTGTGAATTCCCCCCAAAAACGACTCTCACACAAAGTCAGGAATCTCGACCTTCAGCAGAGAGAGCTGCAGTTTTATCTATTCATTCAATCATGAGTAATAACTTTCTTTGTTACCTACTGTATCTGTAATCGCTGCGAATGAAAGAGTGAGCAAGTGAGCAACAATCTTTAAAATCACTCTGACAACTTGGGACTCAACCTGCACAAAGTCTCTTCAGAAAGAAAATAGCTCAAAGGTAAAAAGTGAAAAAGTAAAACCAACCTTAGAAGAAAACATGGAGAATTTCAGGGTCAATAATACGTTCAGCCTGGCTGCCTGCGAATACTTTCACTTCAAACCAGCTGTGAAGGGGAAGGTGGTGTGTGCCTCAACCGACCTTACATGGCAGCTGGACAAAGTCACATCTTGTTTCCCTGAGCTCTGACTTTTGATTTCACTTTGTATTTGATACTTTATCATTTAGCTTAATGTGTAAATACTGATAAGTTATATGAGTCCACCTTCATGGATCACAGTCTCCAAAGGTTAAAGCTGATGACATAATCCGTTCAGACTGTATGACGTGTTTGTGAGTCTCTATGACATGGTAAAAAAAAAACATGAAAACAGTGTCATGTGCACAGATACAGGTGTGTGTGAGTGTCACTTCATGAAAAAACAGGTAGCCTCAGGCCAGGAACACACTGGATGTGAGTCGTGTGCATCGCGGCCGTGGAACGTCTTGGTGACCATTGTGGCAGGTTAGAGTGGACACAGGTGTCACACCTCGCCACTGCGTCACGTGATGTAGAGATTCGGTGTCTCACCTATTTTTGCGTCCCGTCGATGTCATATTGACACACAGCGACTCATGCAACGCAGGAAGTGTGTTCCCAGCGTTACTGGCCTGGAAATAAAATGCTGATAAACCCACATGTACTGCAGCTCTGTCAGCTTTCCTGCCCTAACACACAGTGTGACTAGACCTGATAAATACTTGAAAACCATAGTATGTAAGAAAAATAAAAGGTTTCTTACAGTCAGCTGTGTCTCTCAGCAGGGGGTGGAGGAGGCTTCTCGGTGATCCATGGTGTAGATCCAGCCTAGGAAATTGAAATCAACCTGAACGACTGACTGGATGAATGAATGGAGCTCCACATAACAACAACATTCTGCTAGAATTTCACTCTAGTGTCTAAAACCAGTTCCTCTTAACCAAACTACCTACTGACTACTGTCTTACACACAACAGTAGTTCTGCATGCATATAATAAAAAGATGGACAGTTATAACGGCTATATCTCTGTTACACTTTATTGCTAAAGCTTAGCAGGTATATCTATGTAAGACCAAACAAGATGACAGTCCCTGGTTGATAGTCAAGGAGTAATCCCCCCACTACAGCTACACCTGTCCTTCAACCATCTCCTCATGCGAAACATCATTAATCCCTGACTGCTGTAATTAGGAATGGGCTAATCACCTTCTGTCCCCATCAGCAGCCTGAGCATCTGGCCTGTTGATAAAAAGCTCCAGGACTGCGAAGCCTCGGCCCACGGCCTGCTGGGAGCCGTCTGGCCTGGGTGACAACGCCACCAGCTCCAGGACCACCACCGTGCTGGGCAACCGCAGAGACGTATGGAAGTACAGGACCTAGGGAAGCATAAACATGGCGTGAAGAAAGACGACAAGACCTTGTGAGAGTCCCTGCAGAGAATTGAAGAGAGTAATTATTTTAACTGATGCCAAACTTGTAGTTGAATCAAATGGTAAATTGTGGCATTGGCGGGTAAAAACAATCATTTAAAGCAAATTAACAAGTTAGCGATTAACCTAAAAGCTGAACTAGATCTACCTTAACTATCTATCCACTAGTAATGACCAGTTACTCGTTCAATAACTCCTGTGGTCAATCTCCATATTGGAAGTCTCTATAAGGAATGAGCCAAACATCCAGGGTTGACAGGAACACCTGACTGGTGAAGACATTCAAGGAGGTACAGTATGTCCCCCTGTTGAGGAGACTCTTTGGGATTACTAACGGGGTCTGACCTCGCTATTTTCACACAAGTTCACAGGAAGACAGTCGAGCCTTTCGGGAAGCCCGTCTGTAGTCCGTGCCAGGTAGGTGCCATTGTTTCCAGCCGCTGATCTGCCATTTAAATTGGGAATAATAGCCTACCTACAGCAGAGCCACACTGATTTACATGCACAAAGGCCTGAATATGTTAAAGAGACCCACAAATTCTCTGTGATCCAGCACAATAAAGCCTGTTATTTCTCAAAACAATAAAGAAGAACATGACGGTGTCGACAGAAAAAAAAAATGACTTAAGTAGACATGAGCTACCTTGAAATACAGAGCCAATTTCTCCCAGCCCACTGTGCCATGGCCTGTTCATCTTTAGACCCAGCTATCAGCCACAACAGAGCCATATATTCAAATTCAAAACCTCAGAGGCATTCCCATTTCGGCAACATCAGTCTTTTATCTCCGGGCACGGTGAGTTTAAATTACTACTTTTCCAAATACAAACACTGCTGAATACAAATGGAAAACCTGGGAGGCAAAGATAGTCGTCTAGCCATGGTTTGATTTAGCTATTTGTCTGCTCGCTTGTTTTCATATGTCCGTTGGACTTTGCCTCACTGACAAGGACGTCGGGGTTCACAAAAACATCGTGGCTCACAAACTTGTGTGTGTGTTAGGATGCAAGTGTCCTGCTGGTGATTCAGCATCAACGCCTTTCTGTTCATGGCTCTGTCGACATGGGATGAGTAACAGTGTCTGGGAACCGAGGCTCTGAATTTCTGGGGGAAAATTTTCATCACTGAGCTTTCAATGGAAACTTTTGATGAAATTTATCCGTCCTAATCCGACATGTGGCTCATTTCTCAATGAAGGTAATGCACAGTTTTTCAGGTACTGAGCATTTACTCTGTGTTTGCTGAGCTGGAGTTCACACAGATAGTCTTGCAGCACCAAACACTGGCTGAGCTGATAAAGTAAAAATATCCTGCATGTCATTCAGTATTCATGGGCTGAAAACTTTACTCTCAATTGGTTTATTTATTTATTTCCCTCCAACCTTAACTCCCAAATCAAAGCCTCATCTTTGAATGAACTTCTCTTGAACCTATCCCAAGCTGTATAAACGAGCTTAGGAGTGTTGGTGGTGGTGGTGGTGGTGGTGGGGGGTGGGGTCTATATTTTCTGTCATGTTCACCCAAATTTCATCCCCCTGTAATAATGTAGAATTTGCATTGTGGTCAAAGACGTAGTCCCTCGTCTCGGAGCAATCAAAACATGGACATTGTTCATGATAGATTTCCAATTCAAAGGAAGAATTCCTTTTTCATCTGCCTCGCTGCTTTGATACACCTCCAAATTGATTCAGGTCCAATCTCCTGCAAAAAAATTAAATAAATAAATAAATAACACAGTCCCCGTGGACCAAATATCTCCCTTGCTCAATTTGCAATAATTCAGATTTACAGAAGGATGTAGTCGATGCTGAAGAGAACAGCCACGACTGCTTTTGAATATTTTGAGACAGACAAGCTGAAATGTGGATAAAATACTGTCAAGTGTTCTGAATAAATATTTTTTTTACTTGCACTCGTCACTGATAAAGACCTGATTTTTACAATTTTTCCACGCTTTTTTCATATCTTTCTCCGTCCTGATTTCCTGTGTTGTTTAGATCCTGTTCCAGAGCATGATGGTGCTTCACATGTATTGACAAAGTTGGGTGTCATAGTCAACTAACTGCACCAAACATCTTCAGGCTGCACTCAGTACTTAGTAAAACTGCTTAGTCCTTTTATGCACCCTGGGCATGGAATGAGCTTTACCTTAGCAGCACTTCCCTCTTTGAATACTTAAAGATCTTTTACCAACTGCCCTAAAGGAAACATGTTGCTGTTTTACATAATCCTTCACTTATATCCTCTCTTCTTTTACCGTTTCCCTTATCTTGCTTTTATGTATTGTATGTGTTTCAATGTGAAGTTGTTGTTTTTTTATGTGAAACTACTTGTCCTGCAAAGACTCCCTGGACCTTCCTGACAAAATGAATGATAAATAAATAAAATAAATAACTGGAATTACCGTCGCGCAGTTCTATCCTTCTTGTATGTGTAGTCACTTTATTATATTATCAATTCTAAAGATGTAATATAATAAATATATCAAATAAGTAGCTGTAAAAACCAATGCACATGCTTTGCCTTTTTCCAGAGAAAATCAAGTAAATATGTCCTATAGGCTAAAACAATCTGTGACTCACACAACCCCAAGTACAAGGCAGTGTTGCAGATTCTTTAAAGATCAACTGGTGATGCACATTTGTAAAAGAGTTCTTGATCCTCAATGCATTCTCTCTGATTGAATAAAAACACTGAATGAACCCTGATGACAGCGTCATACACAGGAGTTGTGGGGGAATCCTCTGCAGCAGCACCTACTGTGTCAGATTCGGTTACATTCAGTTTTTAGTTATATTTCATTTTGAAAATGTGAATCAAAACACAAGGAAGAAATAGAGTTGGATAAACCCATGTCTTTTAATATCACACCGTGTCCTCAGTTTCCTCGTCTTCAACGCGTATTGTTGTGGGGGGTAGTGGTAATACTGCAAATAAGGAACAAATGCACTGAAGTGTTTTGTACTAGTAGGAAACGAGGCACAGACATCAGTCGAGTTTTGGATATTTTTACATAACTAACTTTTTATATGCAAATGTCTGAGTTAATCAAGAAATTATGATTTGCATTTGCATTTAAATTCGCCTGAGTTTGTCTGAGCAAAGCTTCAGACTTGTACCATTTCAACAGCAACACAACTTAACGTTAAGGCGATGTCATGAGAGCTCGCTCCTTCCCGAACGTCACCGGAGCAGCAGGAGACATCATTGAGAAAACAGCCTCATTGGAAGCATATGTCGGACTTAATGAGAGGTTATACTCCACAGCAACTGTCAACAAAGCAGTAATTGATTCTCCCCTCCACAGTTTGAGTAAAGAGGGACGAGCAGCGACGGGGCGACATTAAAACATCATCAGTAGCTTCACGTCACGATCACCATCAACAACCAGCCTGTCTGCAGCTTCTGGGGATTCTGCTAAGACCCCTGTGAGGGTAACAGAGAAGCAAATGAAAGAAAACAGGCAGAGGCCTGGGCGTTATTTGAGACTCTGAGTTACACATAAAGAAGATGACCAAAACGGCTTTTCATCACTTGAGAAATATTGCCAAAGTACAACCGTTTTTATCCCATAAAGATGCTGAAAAACGTATTCATGCTTTTCTTTCAAATAGCTTCAAATGGTCTTTTTATTGGTCTTCCAAAGCAGTCAATTCAGTTCATTCAGAACTGTGCTGCTGGACTTTTAACCAAAACAAGGAAGAGAGATCATATTACCCCGGTTTTAGCTTCACTTCACTGACTCCCAGTATCTTTTAGACTAGATTGTAAGGTCCTTTTTATATGTTTTTAAAGCTCTTAATGGTTTGTGATAGGCCAACATCGCAGATTCTCTGTCATTCTATAATCCTTCATGAGCTCTCAGATCCTTTACTGCCAGGCTTTTAAATACACACAGTTTTACACACAAGAAAACTGGCAGTGCAGCTTTTTTTTTTTAACTCTGCTCCAAAACTATGGAAAACTTTTTGTTTGTTTTTATTTTCTTTTACATATTTCATCATCTACTGTCTCTCTATTGTCTATTTTCATTGTCCTTCTTCAATGAAAATATTGTACAATTTGGTTTTTTATGGTAAAGCTGTTTGAGCTGCATCTCTACATCTTCTCTCACGGAGTATTAAGGCCACATTGAGGTAAAAAGAAATCCTAAATTTCGAGAAAAAAGTCATAATATTGCAGGAATAAAGTTGTAATTTTACAAACGTTAAAATAAATGAGGAACGTGGAGCATCATGTGAAGTTCTATTTTAGCAGAGGTTTCACAAATAAGGAGATACTTCATCTTTTGGCTCATCATCATCATCATCATCATCATCATCATCATCATCATCATCATCATCATCATCATCATCAGAACATTGAAAAGATTGTGAAGAAACTGAGTCTATTCAAATGTTGGACAGACAAACAGCAGCTGACACTGTCCTTTCACCTGTTTGATTGGTTGTTAGTAAAACTCCTAAAAATTATCTTTTTTTTTCTCTCAAAATTTTACATTTTTAAATCTTGCAATTTTGCGACTTTATTCTTGTAATGTTAAGACTTCTTTTCTTCAAATATTATGATTTTAGTCTCAAAATTTCTTTTTTTTTTCCTGATTGTGGCTCTAATGCTCCGTCGTACTAAACTGTGCCACATTTTGTGACAAGATGATTATTGAACAAAAACTGTACTCCAGTTTCAACAAAAGATTGTGCAATGAATTCATGGCGGTTGGTGTTAAACATGCAATTATTATTCTCATAGTGTGTAAAAGCCGAAGCTAATTCTTCCTGCCCCCTCGAGGTGGACATTCAAATGCTCGACTTGTGGGCAACTGGGCAAGCACTGACGGAGGAATCACAGGCATTGCACCAAACAAAGAGGCTGCAAATGAGCATTGGTTTTGCATAGAGAGGTCCAGAGCACCAGGAGTGTAATTGACAGGGCCCTGTTGTTCGGCC